CCATCGCAGCCAGAACCATGAGCTTCCTGGGAAGCTGCCCGTGGTGGGTCTCCTCCTCTCCATCTGCTCTTGGCAGGGGACCCAGAACAGAGCCGGGCAGGGGGTGCTGAGGGGGAGGGAGGCTTGAGAAAGGGGCTCCCACAGCACAGGCACCATGGGGAGTCCCACAGGTGGCAAGCAGCTCTGAGTAGGCGCCTGGTAGCTGATGACGCAGGTGGGCACCCTTGCTGGCAAGCCCTGTAGAAGTGGGCCCCAGGACAGTCACTGCCCACCTCACCCCCTTTCTCTTATTTACCTCACTACGCTGCCAAGCGGAGGTGGGAGAAGGGACCTCATCTGAAAGATGGGCTGAGAGGACTGCTGGTGACTGGCAGAACCGAGGATGATGGGGTGGCAGTGAGCATGGATGTGGAGAGGGGAAGGTGTGGGCAGAGAAGGGAAGGGGGGGAGCCGGACTGTCAGCCTTGGACACATCACTCAACCTTTTGGGGCCTTGGTTCATCCTCAAGGTGGAAACTTCCTTGGTGAGAATAATCTGTAAGGCAGAGCTCTTCCTCACCCCATCCATTCAGTTACCCTCCACGTCTTCAGGCCCAGCCGGGGCATCATAGTTGTGGGACTGCTTCACGTCCCCTAGGCTTAGGGACTGCTTAAACCCTGACGCAGCAAGGACAGAGCTGGTTATGGATCCCATACTCGGGGGTGCAAGGGCTCTAGATGCTGGACACAGAGAGAAGGGCCCCAGCTCACCCACCCCCCACACTCCCAAGTGGCTTGTGCTGTTGGTGGACAAGGCAGAGATGGGCAGAGAAGCTCCACTCTGGGGATCAGCCCTGGTAGGCTTCTTGGAGGAGTGGGTTTCCCTGGCCACCAGTGGGCCTGGCTTGAGGCCCACTCACAGGCTGGAGTGTGCATGTGCTGGCAAGGACAGGTGTATGCTGGGGGGGGGGCGGTGGTGGTGGTTACTGTGGCAGAGGGAGGAGGCCGAGGGAGGCCCCAGCTTGTCCCCCCTCCCCATCTCTGCAGGTGCACTGCGGTCAGTTGAGCGACAGTGAGGAATGGAACTTGCAGGCTGTGGAGAAGCACGTGAGAGAGGGTGGGAGCAGGGAGGTGGCGGGGAGGGGCTGTGGATCTTTCTCAAAGTAGGGGTGTGGTGTGGCTGGGGGACACACCATGGTCTGGCCAGGGAGCTAGAGTCAGACGTGGGTTCCAATGCCAGTCCGACCACCTGTTCACTGGAGCCTTGTGTGGAAATGGAAATAGAGGCCGCTGGTCTCCCCAGGGAGCTAGGTGATTTGATTCCTTGTCAGTACCAAACGGCGAAGAAGCACAGAGGGCCACAGGCATCAATGCTTTGGGGGCTCTTCCTGCCTTCGAGTTCGACTTTCGACTTTAACCAGGACCCACTGGTTACCCCAGGGAGCTAGAGACACAGACATCTGATGTGGCAAGTCTTGGAAGAGTCTGGGGCCAAGGGTGGAAACAAGATTCCTGGTCATGGACTAGGAGGCGCCCCAGGGGCAGTGGGAGCCCATAAGAGGGTAGGGCACACAGTCATGAACCCCCTACCCCACCCAAGGCATCAAAGGAGTCGAGCCCTGAGGGAGGCAGTGGGCACTGTAGCCAGTGGAAATGGCGGGGTGGCCGAGCACCCACTGACCGCTCGCCCCACTCCAGACCCTCGTGGCCCTGCGGAGGGTGCAGGCCCTGCAGAAGCGAGGACCCTTCGCGGGCCCTGGCACCGCCCAGAACTCCCCGGCGCGGGCGGCCAGCGACCAGAAGGGCCAAGCTGGGTACACCGACCAGGACAGCAAGATTCTGAAACTCTGCGGTGAGGGCGGGTGCCGTGGCGTGGCCCTGAGTGGAACACAGAGGGGGAGGGGTGGGTGGTCCACGGATGTGCCAGGGGCCTGAGGGACTGCGCCTGACAGGTGGGCAGAGGCCCATGGGAGAGCGCCCCAGTGAGGGGCATTGTGGGGGCACCGAGTCCTGGTGGCGTAGGGGCACCGAGTCCTGGTGGCGTAGTGAGTTAACGTGTTGGGCTGCCAACCGCAAGGTCAGCAGTTTGAGACCACCAGCCGCTCCGCGGGAGAAAGACGAGGCATTTCACTGGTGGCGCGGCAGGTTACGCGTTGGCAAAGCCAGCAGTTGTCAATGGCTTAGAAATGTCTCTGCGGGAAAAGCATTTTGCCCCTGTCAAGATTCTGTCTCAGAAAGGCGCCGGGGCAGTTCTACCTGACCTAGAGGGTCGCTTTGGGCAGGAATGGACCCGATGGCAGTGGGTTTGAGTTTGTGCCCGAGGGGTGGGGGCCTTTGGTAAGCTGG